ATATTTAATACATACTTGCCACTGCTAATCACCTCAATAAAAATCATATAAACGAAAATGCAAGAGTACAATATATATATTATATATATATATATATTTATTGCGGATTTTTCAAATTTATTTTTTATTATTATAAATACAAGCAGTATACGTAACATAACAACATAACATAACGAACAAGCTTAATTAATTCAATAATTAATTCTATTTATCACACTTCTCTCTTTTTGTTAAAAATTATTGGTTTTTAACTTTACCTAAAGTATGTTAAACGTCCTCTTCCTGGTTAAGCTGTTAGAACACAAGGTTTCTCCGTAAGCTTTGACTCCTCTTCCCTGCCGACATCCTCCGGCCTTCACGGCTTAAACTGACACTACCGTCCTTACCAGCCCCTACTAATGTAATGCGACTACGAGAGCCGCGGTACAAGTCTCCTTAGATTTCCGTCTGAATGCATCGATTGCCATAACCAATCATTTCATCGTCGCTGAAAGCCATGATGTATTTACTTCACCGCTTCTGAGAGCCGTTACGTATAGTGTGTTACCGTGTAATGTATTAATTCGTTGGTATCGCCATAAAAAAACTTACTCAGTTTGCGTTGAAACGCTGACGTATCCTTTCCTGGCTCTTTTTCTTGATATCCCAACGAAAGGGGATTCGCTGGCGTCGTCTATACAATATTCATTGTCATCGTCCATGCCGCTTGGTTGTTGATCGCTGCAAAAGTTATGAAATATGTACATATATACTTTCAACATTCAAATTTTGTTTGTTTTTTATTGACTTACATTTCGGCTCCGGGGATGGCACCTCGGCTTAGCAGTGCACGACCGTTCCGCGCAATCAAATCTGTACTTAAAAAATTATTGGAACACACAAACGGTTCCCTTGGCAATTGCTGCTCGCTTAATCCGCAATCCTTCATCCACTTTTCCCGTAAATACGGCACAACAGGAAATTTGAAATGTTTTACAGCTGTATTCCTACAGCTATTCCGCGTGTTGAAACATCCCCGGAAGCAGCAGCTCATTTCTTATTTAATTTTATTTTATTATGAATATTTTTTAATATTTTTGAAGTGATATGTTTGGCTTTGCTTAGTTTTATTTTTTTTTCAACGCCAAAAAGGTGCATTTGTTTTTTAATAAATTGGTAAAACAAAAAATACGAAACACGTTTTGTGTCAGATAGCTAACAGGCGGATAAGAAGAAGAAGTGAAACTACCTTCTAAAAATTATTGTATCATGGGTAGCACCTGTTGTTTTCGTTTCCCAGCCAAAAATATGCCCGTATACTTGCTTCAAAAACCTCTATCACCGTCGTTGTTCGAAATTTGTCGCCCGGTTATGGTAACCGTGCCCATATGTCTATACCCAAGTTTTCCGTTTAAATAAATAAATAAAAATTTCAATACTCATCCGACTCTGCGCAGAGGGTGTATACATAACCCAGACAATAAGACATAATTCATGAATTGCTGAAATCCTTTTGCAGAGAATATCTTTCTGCGTAGGAGGCCTA